CAGAGAAAAATGGGGAGGAACAAAAAAGAGTGCCTTCTGCCAGAATTGAACTGGCGACCTTCTGCTTACTAGGCAGACGCTCTGCCACTAAGCCAAGAAGGCATCGTAAACAAATAGACTTCAGCCTGTTTTGAAATTCTTCTCTTCGAGCCTAAACAAAAAATCACTATATCTCGGGCAGTCCACGATTTGGCTCTGTAAGCAGCTCAATTTGTTCCATTTCAAGCCTGGCGGGGGACAGGCTCAGCCGGGTTCTTTCACTCCGCAACTCGCTCATCGCTGGCAGTCGCCTCCAGTGCACAATTCACTTATTTTCGGGTCAACCAGAATTTGACACCACCGATAGCCCTTCCGTCCATACCCAAATCTGCCTAACGGGTAACAAAGCCTCATAACTTTAGGAGCTCCTCCAAATTTCCACGGCAGGACTGTTTCATTTTATTCAGTCCTGTTAGGATTATCCAAATATACATGCGCCAAAGCACTGCACCAAAAAAAAACTTGCTCAATTTATTCTGCGTTGCAATAATAATGAATTCAATTTGGGTGAAACATTTTTTCACGCCCTTTCAAACGGAAAGAGTCGCTTCATTCCTGGTTATAGAATCACTAATATCAATGTATTTAAGACAGCAGAAAGTACATCCCTGAAACAAATGCAGAAAAACAATTCCAATTCAACGATGTCCCTTTCTAATAGTCCGACGGTTTAGCCGCAATTAGGGTTAGAAAGGACGTGTAGTTTTGAAAGAGAGCTTGTCTTTCTGTGGCAAGAATAGTAATGTCTCCAAATGCAGAGATGCATACATCCTGTGCATACACCCTGCACGACGATATTTACGCCAAACCACAGATCTTCAATGCATGTGTGTTTTGGTTTCTCGATTTGGGGAGCGCTTCCTTTGGGTTGTCAAAACAGCGCTATGCACAGATCTGTTGTCTTCCGATATTGCCTTTCCAGAATTAGACATTTCCAACTTAGAAAATACGAAAGTAGTGTCGTAATGGTTCTTTTGCTATGCAGCAACTCGCATTTCCATTTTAAAAAGGAACGCTGGCAAGAAGCGTTCTGTGTTTTGCCGTATTCAATGTATATATATCCCTTATCACTGCCTCTGATATGCTCGTGCACACTTTTATTCAGTTCAGTTGTTGTATGCACTCTAGGATATTTACTTATTCTTATTATTCTTATTGTCAGCTTCCCGTACGAAAATGCACAAGATCCCGCTGACCGCTCGTTCAAATCTTTTTTCTAGCGATGAAGAGCGGGTGGAGTATCTTGAAACGTTCCTAGGCATGCACGTTGACCCAGTTGATAGCGCAGACACTGTGGTTATTGCCGTCGGCAGCGCCCTGTTCGGAATCACATTATTGTTTATCGCCACCGCTTGGCTTAGGCGCGAGTTTCGGCCTATCCGTGCCAAAAACCTTCCGATGGTGACAATTCTGTTTATCACTGGCCTTTTGTGGTTTATAGGCGACATCCCAATGAATGGCCACGTTTTACTTAAGGGCGTCTTCAGTAGCTGCAAGGAATGGAACATATGGGTGCATGTTTTGTTCAGCTTTTGGTATACAACAGTCCTTGTTATCCGCTGCTTTGCATTGGATCGCGTGTTTAACCAGAACAAACCGACACGCGGTATCGCTTACTATGCGCCGTCGGCCATTCTGTTTTTGTTTTACCTCGGTTACTCGATAGTCACACAAGTGATTCCTGACAAGCTTACTGTCGATTACAACAGCGACCTCGAGATATGTGTAAGGACAAAAGGGTACCAGTATGTCACAGTGGGCGTCATGTGGGTCAACTGGCTCATATTTATTATTATGATGGTTCGTCTGCGTAACATCCCGCACACGTTCAACGAGATCTACGAGTCCCTGCTGATCTGTGCACTTGGTGTGGCTGGGATGGTCAAAACAAGTGTTGTCCATTTTACACACCCTATGTATCCACTCGTTCTCGGATATCGTGTGGCAGAAACCATTGGCGATGCTGTTGTCTGCAACGGGGTTATTCTGGTTATCATCGCGTATCCGGTAATTAGGAGCGTAGTCAGGTCCAAGGAGTATGAGGGTGAATGGATTATGCGGCTTCGCACAGACGGCCTGGAAGATGCGTACGAGACCAGCTTAAAGCCGCGTATCGATGGGACGCTTAGCTTCCGGCCGATGAGCGGCAAGCGGCCATTCAGTGCTGACGCAAGAGCAAATGATGGCCTCGATAGCAAGAGCCAGTATGTGCGCATGGATGACTATGATAGCGAAAAGGCTGGCGCCGCAGTGGTGCTCAGTAGTGGGCCATTTGTGGCACAAGAGGATATACATTCTGTTACACGCAGTCGCGGTATAAACATCGACGACTCTTCTCAAATTCACGCCGAACGCCATTTGCAAGAGCCCGTGCAGTTTGCGGATGACGGCAGATGGTCGCGACACATCTTATAGGCATACATTTTGATCATTCACTTACTTTAAGATTTGCTTTAGCTACCGGACATTTATTACCAAGGGAGGGGCAGAGCCTCAGCTCAAGGATGGAATCCTACAAGGATAAAACTTATTAGCGTTTAATCTCCTTGGAGAAACAGAGGCGAAAGTGCTCAAAGGGACCGCTACCATTTCCCCTCCATTTTAACGTTATATAATGCATTGGCTATAAGTCGCGAGCCCCTTGTTGGTCATTGTGTGAACGCAGTCTAGTCGCAGAATGGAAAGAGCGCACATCTTCAGGTTATATCCGATATTTTCGCCACTACTGTAAAATATCCTTTGGAATAGGAGAGATCAGTCTTTTATTACGCTTTGAGGGCTCGTGGACCTGGGTTTTCGTTGAGCAGGTTGAATTGGAAGGCTGCGAAGGGAAGTTGGCGCTAAGGGTCATTGGTGCAGTGGGGGCTTGGCTGAAGGAAATATAATCTGCGCAGATGTGAGCTCCTTTGGTTGGGCTAGTTGCGGGTATGGCGATGGTTGGCAATGACGAATAACGCCTAATTATTTTGCCTATTCGGCAATACAAAAATATAAATGACTGAGCCAAATAATCATTACGCCCCTGCAGTGGCTAATAATTTTTTGGAAATATTGCTCTATGACGGTAGGTCTATTTGTTTATTTAATGTATTTCATATTCAATTCATCGGAAGCAATACTGCTAGCAAGGAATTTGCCCATTTTCTAAATATGTTGCATTTGGCAAAGATGACACTCCCTCGTAAACGTCATTTCGCCTTACCTACCTCTGGGCGCATACATAGTCGATCTCATTAGCCATCTTTTCTTCCACTTTGTCAGCATAAGCTACGCTTGCTTTTATAGTTTTGTATTCATATACGAGCTATCTAAGAGTTACAAAAATGCCTAATTTGTCTCCCTTTTCAAACACTACCCCCTTCATATAGCCGAAGCGATTGGCAACTATTGTATTGGACTACAGCGTCGCTGTGACAGAATTGTATATCGTATAAAAGAGCGTTCAGCAAATACCTGGCTTGCTCTACATGGCGTTAGCTATTATTAGATGCAGCTTGTTCGTAGAAACCTCAACAAAAGTGTCACCTTGCAATTGTCGACAAATCCCGAGAATGATCAGTTCGCTGCTATGCTTCACTCGCATCGTGCTATAGAACAAAGCACTACGATTATGCCACACGTCAAAGTAGTCGACATTCATTTTGATGACATTGTCGATGAACCAAACGAAGAGGATCTTGAAAATATCGGTCGATTTTGGTCTGAGAATCTCGTATTCCCGAATGTTCGGTTATTGACATGCAAATTGGGACGCGAACATACAGAAACATCCATTAACGCGAAGAATAACAAATACCTCAAGTGATTTATTGAGCGAGTGCGATTGATTATCTTTTTCCAACCTTTAAGAGACAAAAATCGAGTTTGGAAAGTACGGAATGATATCCGTCAGCCCATGTGTTCTGTTTCCCACCGAATGGGACGCCAGCTTGTTTTTATCGGCGCTTTTCAAGACAGCGGAGTGGACGAATAATGGAATTCAGAATCCAGCGCATATTGTGTAATGTGCATGTTCTTATCAAAAACGTGCCTGAGGTGACCACCTTTTCCTATCATGGAAGTTCAATTATGGCTTTGCTATCTGGGTCACCAAAATTCCCGCAAAAGCCTTGGAGAGACTTTATTACGGTGGGATTGGCGGTGGAGGGTTTAAGGAATTTTTGTTCGACGACGATGACCTAGTGATCGTGTATCCCAGACTCAGGGAGTTGTATGTGATTGATCACAGCGACGATGAGGGCGAACTCGCGACAGACAAACCGAGTTCCGTTTATGGCATTGCAGCGTCTTAAGGTGAATTTCATGTGCATATTTGATGACGACACGTGTTTTAGAGGATTCGGCAAGCCGTTGATAAGTTTGGGTATCAGCCTACATCGTGGGTTTGTGGATATTCTCCAAAAGCACAAGTTGTTTTCGCAAGGCGTTTATCCGAACACCCTCCATATTACTGCGACGCATGAAATCAGAGCTATCCTTGTTCTACCGATTGGCCAGTTCGCAGAGGCCACCTTTGGCCTTGTTTCCCCTGCAACACAGTCGATAAAGCTTGCCGGCGACATTTCACACAAACATATTACCAGCGCCATCCCCACAAATCCATACTTTGAGAACATTAAAATCCTGCTACTTGAGGAAGCAGAGCTAATCTTGCTCGAGACCCTTGATGTTCTCGAGCACTTTCCGCATGTGACAGATTTTGGTTGTCCCTTCCAGGTCATTGATTTAGAACTAGCCACGATTCAAGCCATGGCCATCCCTAGTCATCCTGGTGCACAATATGCTCAGATTATCAACAGACTTGAATGCTGGCATACGTATTCTTCAGAAAGTGCTTTATATGGAGATATGGCGGTTGTGTTTGTGGTACTTGCTATTCTATGCCCTAACTTTACTTTTGTTCAAGGGTGGAAATATGACACAGCTGCATATAACCGTACAGCTGCGTATCTTCTTAGCAGTGGTTTATACGACAAACACACTTAAAGACTAGGGCATCTTGTCTAAACTTGAAAAGTAGGTTTATTTCTTATTTCTTATTACTACCAAAGATCATATACTGA